CGGGGGGCTGGGGGGTGGGGAGCGGATCTTGGTGGCGGGCACAGGGAGCTGCAGGTGCGGCAGAGGTCCTGGGGCGGGTGGCCCATGGGGCATCGTGACCCCTTCACGGCAGCCCCTTTCTGGGCAATCCCTTCCCCAAGTGCCCAGGCTCTCAGTGGGTCCCCAGGGGGGTCAAGGCAGCACCCCAGGCTGGGCATCACAGTGGGGGCATAGGGCATGCCCAGGTGGGGCTTTGGATGCTTTCTTTTCTCTCTGCCTTTTGGGTCAAACGGGGATCTTAGCAGCTCGCTCCTGCAGCTTCCTCTGGAGGACACCTTTGGGGCAACATGCAGAGTGCCACAACAGCAAGACAGTAATAATAACAAAAAATAACCAGGGGCCGGCCTGTGGCTCACTCGGGAGAGTGCGGTGCTGATAACACCAAGGCCCCAGGTTCGGATCCCATGTAGGGATGGCCGGTTGGCTCACTGGGTGAGCGTGGTGCTGACAACACCAAGTCAAGGGTTAAGATCCCCTTACCGGTCATCTTTTGAAAAATAAAATAAAATAAAAAAGTAAATAACCATAGAATCTCCATCAGAAGGAGGCTTTAACTCCAGAGCAGTTCAGGGACCTTCTCTGCTCCCAATCAGTCCATGGCTTCCCATTGCCCCCTTGACAGAGATGTCCTCCAGGCCCTGTGTGACCTGCCCCACCCACCACTCTGGCCTTATGTCCCCCATGTCCTCCCTCACTCCCTCTGCTCCAGGCACACCCGGGCCGTCTCCTCGCTGTGCCTCAACTGATGACATCCAGCCCTGTCTCAGGGTCTTTGCCCTGGCTGTGCCCTCTGCCTGGAACACTCTTTCCACCTGTCACCTTTTCAGTGAGCCTCCCCTAAACTGCCCACAGGGCTCCCCACCCCCATGCCACCGGCCTTGCCCTGGGCTCCCCACTCCAGTGCCACTGGCACACCCCAAACAAAGAAGAATGACATCACAGCATCCTGACATCCAGCCCGTCTTCACATTTCCCCGACTGTCTCCAAAAGGTCATGCATTGTGTCCGGCCATTCTCTATCTCTGGTCCTTTTTGGTTTAGACTTAAAACTGTCCCTTGCCGGTCCCACAGTGATGGTTTTTTGAGGAGGCCGGCAGCTGTCCCGCGGCTGGCTGCACAGCTGGAACTCATGGTGAAGTTGAACTCGCTCTTGGAGGCCTGTGTTTCTGTTCCATGGCAGTGAGCCCCAGATCCCAGCCGGGGACACACACGGGTTGTTTAAACATAAATTAGTAACAAGAAACAGTTAAGTGTAAAATTCTGTTCCTCAGTCCCACTGGCCACATTTTGCATGCTCAGGAACCCTGGACTGGCTAACACATTGGAACGCACTGGACGGAGAATTCGAAGTCCAGGAAAAGCTGGCGGCTCCCCACTGCCTCGGTCAGAGGCCCCCAACCTCCCCCCACAGCCAGGCTGGGTTTGCTCCCCAATCAAGGGGACGCCCACCCGGTTTCTCCGTTGGGAAAGTCAATTTCTTTCTCTCTTTGCAACTAGTAAGAGAGAGCGTGATCCATCATAATTTCAAGATTGTGCATTTATTGAGCACCTACTGTGTGCTGGCCTCCATGCAGGGCACCCTCTATGCAGCAGGAAGAGGATGACTCTAGGGGATTAGGAAACTGGCCGTTAGGCCTCCCAGGGTCTCTCAGCCTCCTGGTCACAGCTGAAGTCACTTCCCTCCCCGACCACCCAATCCAGCTCAGAAGGGACTAATGCCCACCATGTCCGCATCTCTTTCAGTGGCCCCTGTCCGTGTCCCTCACGGTGTGATGCTCACCACCAGGAGCCAGACACCCGCTTGGCTCTTCGCCTGTTTCCCTGCCGGTCTGGAGCTCTGTGAGGCCACTGCTGTGTCCCCGACATTTACACAGGCCTTGGAGTGCTGTAAACTCATTTCCCTCAACCATTTAAGTGTCTCTGATCGCCGCAGGCCTGAGTGTTCAGTTGTCCTTCCCGGGGCCACCACTCAAGTGTCCTGGCCCATGCAGAGCCTGTCTCCCCTCTCCCTTTGCCCTTCCAGGATTCTTGCTTTGGCCAATACCAGCCTCGCTTTGCAGCGTGAGGCAGAAGCATCTGGCATACAGTAGGCGCTCAATAAACGCTGGGTCCGAAGTGTTTAAAAAACGCTTAAGGGCCGGGACATCTGGGTGGGATGTGTCAAGGCTGCGTGGGAGCCAGGCGTTGGTGGAGGGGGCAGGCGCAGTCCCAGCCCGGTGGCAGCCAAGCGGGGGGCGTTTCGGCTCTAAGGACTCCTTCCTGGGGTTCAGGGGCCGGGTGCACACCGTTTTGCCGCCAGGCATTGGCTTGCAGAGTCCTGTCCGCCCCGTCGTCCCCTGGAGGGCCCAGGTCGTGCCGGTGGCAAGAGGCAGATGCACCCCCAGGTCCTACCCCTCCAGAGTCAGGTCTGAAGACCCAGGGTGGCAGGGGACAGACGGGGGCTGATTCACCTTGGCGGACCACAGGCGAAACGTGGGCGAGCTGGGATTAGAGCAAAACGTAGACGGGTCCAATCCCCGCCCTCGGCGGAGTGCAGGGGGGCGGGGCAAGCAAGGCCCGATGACGTTGTAGGCCCGTGACGTCAAGGTGTCGTCGAAGGGCGGAAAGCCTACTAAAAATATGGAACGCTTCACGAATTTGCGTGTCATCCTTGCGCAGGGGCCATGCTAATCTTCTCTGTATCGTTCCAATTTTAGTATATGTGCTGCCGAAGCGAGCACGACGTACGGGCTCTACCCACAGGTATTTAAAGCCTCCCAGTAAAAACACTTTACAGTTAGGTGCACTTGTCGTTAGCATACACTCAGCATAACTCATTCGATGTCTTCGTAACAGACCATCTCTCCTATCATCACACTCACTTTAAACCTCATTTATTAACCAAAACCCCTCAGATGTTGAGAATGTCACCGCCCCATCGCGGCCTCGCAGCCGCGGAGGCTTGTGGGACGCAATATGCAAAAACACCGGTCCAGACGCAGCCCCGCCTCCCGGCGCCCCGAGCCGGGCCGCCCAGCGCCCGGGCGAGGCCTCCGCGGACTGGCCGCCAGCATCCCGGCGTTCCCCGCGGGCGCAAGGCGGCCGCTCTAGTCCGCGCGGCACTCGCTGG